GGCTGAAATCCTTGGTCGTGCTGAATTTGTCTGATAATCAGCTTGAGGTTAGGTTTGATTCACATTGGTGCCATGATATAACTATCGAGTTTATGTGCTTGAACTGATTGTTTATAGTTGCTTTCCTGTATATTATTGAGGGATCTTATTGTTCATTGTTAGATAACTGATATGAAGGGGTTTTAATGCTGTTGTGGTTAAGTTGATGATGGCTGGGCTAAAGCGCGATAGGGTTAAACAATGATTACTGTGAACATCAGCTCAATTGAACATTTGGTGACTAAAATGTAGGTTTGTGGACAATCTATGACAATAAGTTGGTTCAATGTCTTCTAGGAAGATGCCGGATAAGCATTTCCTTTGACTGGTGATTATTGTAGACACTTATAATGCAGACTACTTTTCTTGTATTGGAATGCTGTGTTAATTTGAAGTATTTTGGTAAACCTTGAATAAAATCAATTTTGTTTAGAATCTATATGATTCTTGTGGAGTTTGCTATATTGTTCTCATCTGGTTTTCAAGGTAACACATATTTTTGGTCAGGTAGCATTTGAGGGCAAGTGGTATTTTGCTACTTTGTGAAGACATTTTAATGCATGTACATTACTCTGCTTCACAATGAATTTCTGGGTCTTAAATTGGTGAATCAACGGCACATGGAATTTTCTCTTGTGACGGTTTTGCATGTTTACGTTGAAATATATGCGGTTGAAATTCAGTGATTAAGGAGTAATTGTTTGAGTTTTCGTTCTCTGCTTCATGTCTATGGAGAGAAAATTATCTTCCTCTTTTTCAATTTTAGAGAGAAAGCTGAGAATGAATTTTGCTGAGAATGTGAGTATGACTTGGCATTAATAATGACTGTTAATGTCATGATTTTCGAAGTAATGACTAGATATGGTGATTGATAACAGTGAAAAATAGGGAGTGAATGGTGTATTACAGTATTTTACTGTTTTTAATACATGATTATACAATTATGATGACTTGAGAATTATTCTGGTTAAAGTAGATGTCATTGACTTTGATTATTGAAAGGTGACACAGAATGTTTAGTAATCTGTACCATTTTACACAATCAGCCACATGTTGAATGAATTAAAAAAAAAAAAAAAAAAAA